CCTTATATATTCGATGGGAGATATTAGCCCTCAACATCTTATTTTTTGGTTTCTCGCCCGGTATCCGAGGCTTCACCCCGATTACTCCAGACTCGACCAGCTGTGGCGCACCAGAATGGTGGGTGGGTCTCCCAACGAAGGTTGCTGGTGGGTGGGTCTCCCAACGAAAGTTGCTGGTGGGTAGATCTCCCAACGAAGGTTGCTGTGTACACAAGGTTTCGAACTCGAGACCTTACTTAAACTGAAACAAACCGCTTGCCACTTAATCCAAACCCTCGTTAGTAACATCTTATTTATATATATATATATATATATTACTTGAAAAGCTCCATGACACAAAAGGTAAATACAAAACATTTATATCTGATTCCACTGAATCCAGCTTTAGTTGCCAACTTCATGAATTCTTGTTGAGTCCTTTCCTTCCCGCCATGGGTTTGCGTCATCATCAACACGTCCATTTGAGCAATGGCCCTCGCAGTAACATCCTTCTCGGGCAAAACTGCAGCGACTGCGTCTACAACGATTACTTTTCCATTTTCAGGTATAGCATCATAACAATTCTTCAACAGTTTAACACAATGATCATCACTCCAGTCATGTAGTATCCACTGCAAATTCATTTCCAAATCACATCTTCGAAAATGATAGGTTTCCATTAATGTAATGCATTGATGTGTAGTTTTCCAAGCAAAATCATAAAACCCACCTTCATAAAAATGGCATCTCCCTTAGGAACACTATGGAACATATCTCCTCCCACATGTTCAACCCCTGCAATTTATGATTAAACTGAGTGCAGTAGGCTTGAAATTTGAGAAACTTGACATGTTAAGCTTGTAATGTTGCATACCTGCGTAAGGGGGAGCGTGTTGAACAACATGAGGCAAGTCGAAATTAATTCCCGTTATGGAAGGGTATTTGGAAGTGATGAAGCTGAGGGTGACTCCTAAACCACCACCAACATCGACCAAACGGGTGAGGTGTTCAAATCCATTGTAGGACTCAAGGATTTCCTTGATAATAATGGTGGTATGATTGATCATTGCTTTATTAAAAACTTGATTGAATCTGGAGTCTTTGGCAGAGTATTCGAAGGCATGAGTTCCATGGACCCTGTCAAAAGGAACTCCTCCTTCTACAATTGCATCCTTCAATTGAGACCTAATTAGTAACAATGGTGAAAATCGATGAAAATTAGTAAATTGGAAGAGAAAAAGAAAAAATTATTTGAAAAATAACACTAATTGATATATCATTCAATTTAATATACTACATAACGTGTTTATTAAAATATTTTTATTTTTTGATATGAAATTAAATTCAGGCAAAGGGAATTGATTGATATTTGATACAGAGCAAGAAGCACAAACCAACTATCCAATAATTCCTTGTCCTGAAGCAAAGCCATGAAGGGTCCTAATGAAACACCATCTTCATTTCGGATAAAGTACTTGGACACAGATGCTAAACCGTACAGTCTCTGAGGATCATCTTGATGATCATTAACAGCAACAGAGCAAGTAAGCACATTGTAGGTGGCTAGGAGCCTAAGGATGCGGTCCAGCATCATGGCCGCATCAGGGTTTCGGGCGCCCAACTGGGTTGCTATCTCCTGTGGGGAGAGCTTGGCATCAGCTCCGGCTTTGGCTATGATCTGGAAAATGTCCAGCTGAAGTGCAGCATGCAGAGTCATGGGCAGCGCGACTGAGTTGACAAGCTGCATAGCATACGAGGAAGATTGTTCCTCGTGATCTTGCTGCATGTTGTTGGCATGGATTTGGCTTTGGGCTTCTTCTGAAGAGGCCATTTGGGTAATCAAACTTTGAGTTGTTGGGTATGATAGGATTCAAATTTCCAAGTGTATGAACAATTGGAGTGGAATTATTGCCGATGAGATATGCTTGGAGTGGCTATTAATTTATTAACCTTGGAATCGAAGGAAATGGGACCCGGCATCATATCTCATTCTTTTTCAGTTTTGTTCTTTTTTGCCTAATCTTTTGTAACGTCACTCTTTCTTTTCTTCATGAC